TTATTTACAGACACTAGCCCCGTCAGTTACGACTGATTTCCACGGAGGGCGTCTACTTAATTACATTATGAGCGTCTACTTAATTACACTATACAAATATAAACTATATATAATATGCAGAATTAACTACTTGAATTTATGAGCCTCTTGAAACAATGAATCGATTGAGCAGACTTAGCTTCACGCGAAAGACTATTCCATAATACAGCTCCTCTATATTTAAAACTTCTTTTGAGAAACTCTTTCTTAGGTCTCGGGATTGATAGATCAGTATCGTAATGTCTCAGGTTATAACCATTTTCAATCACACTACGCTCAGAAAAGGATTCGCGAAGGCACGGAGCAGTACCGTTATTTAGGATATTATAAACGAGAACTGCTTTGTTAGTTTTATATTTAGTTTCGAGATTTTTCCATCTAAGCTGCTCCAGGCGTTCAGAGGAGCTTGTATTGTAGTCTGCCCCCGTTAACACCCGAGCAGCCCTATTTTGAAATTTTTGCAACTTTTCTTTCAATAATAGACCGCAATTGTCCCAAAGAGGGGAACAATAGTCAAAGTATGGTTGAATTAAAGCTTTGTAAATGGTGTGCATGGTTTCTTCAGGAACAAAGGGTTTAACTCGTCTCATTACACCTATTCCCGCGCCTACCTTTCTGCTTATTGCATTTATATGGGCTTCCCAATTAAGTTGTTCATCAATCTCGACGCCCAAACATTTAAAAGATCTATAACGGGTTACTGGTACATTTCCAAAGATCACTGGCTTATTTCCTAGTTTATTTTGAATGGTATACGAAGAGCCTAAAACAAAAGTTTAGTTTTGGTAGTATGATGTTGCAATTTATTATCACTAAGCCATTTACTGATATTTTTTAAATCAGAATTCAACATATCTACTAATTCATCAAAGTTATCCGACGACGCAAAGATTTGAGTGTCGTCTGCATATATTCCAGGGGTAGTAGATTTTAGGTACTCTGGTAAGTCATTGATATACAGCAGAAACAACAGGGGACCCAGAATGGAACCTTGGGGAACTCCACTTATTATTTCTTTGCGAGTCGATATGTAGCCATTCACATAACACACCTGCTCTCGATTAGTCAAATAGGAAGCAAACCAAGCAAGTTCGGAGTGTTTTGTTCCAAACTGGTTTTTCATTTTTATCAGTAGAATTTCATGATCAATTGAGTCAAAAGCTTTTCGAATATCTAAGGAAACTATACTAGTAATTTTACCCTCGTCCATATTTTCCAACCATTTATCACACATTTGAAGAAGTAGAGTTAATGTTGAGTGTTTTGGTCTAAAGCCAGATTGAAATTTTGAAATCAGTAAGTTCTCTGACAGATAGTCATATAGTTGTCGAAAAATTTCTTTCTCAAATATTTTGCTAACAATTGGCAGAATGGAGATCGGACGGTAATTTTCACACTTTCTCCTATCTTCGGATTTATAGATTGGTTGGACTCGTGCTATTTTCCAATCATTGACAAATTTCCCAGTATATAATGATAGATTAAAAATGGCAGTCAGTGATGGAGCAATTATATCCGCAGATAGTTTAAGTACTTTTGCTGGAATTTTATCGAGTCCCGTAGCTTTAGAAACTTTTAGAGATTTTAGATTATTTGCAATTTGATCAATACTTAGACCTGAGAAGCAAAATGTTGAACGGCAAGTAGAATCCTTAACTTTTGTTTCGTAGGCAGCGTTACAATTTGTCACTTCAGCCGCTAGTGACGGGCCAATATTAACAAAATAGTTATTTAGTTGATTTGCAATTGAAACTCCGTCTGTAATAACGCTGCCGCCGATATTGAGTTCATTGACTATTGTAGATTTACTACCGTCTTTACCTAGAAGAGTATTAATTAATGACCAGCTTTTTTTAACATTTCTCTGCTGAGAGGATTCTGAAAGTTTATTATTAAAGTAGTTAGCTTTAGCTTTCCTTATTTCAGAATTCACTTTGTTTCTGATGGTTTTATACTTTCCCAATGCGCTTCAGAGCCAAATTTTTTAGCCAATTTCTGATGGAGGTCTCTTTCCCTCATAAGTTGCTTTATGGATGCATTTACCCATGGCATTGATTTAGTTTTAGTCCGCCTACTCTGAATTGGCGCATGCCTATCGAGTGTCTCTAGAAAGAATAATTTCCAAATTTGCCAGCTATCATTTGGGTCATTAAATTGGTTCACATAATCCCAGGGAACCGTATTTAAGTCTTCGAGAAACTGTCGTTCATTAAAATTTTTAAAATTTCGAAATTCCTTAAAGGCTTGTTTTTTCTTTGGAAACACCATTTTTTTGACAGCAAAAATTAGGTTATGATCGGAAATCCCTAAATTAATTACTCCATAGTTAGAAATACTCTCAGGATTGTTAGCTAGAACCAAGTCAATTAAGGTTGCAGTTGTTTTAGTCACCCTAGTTGGTTCTTCTATCAGTTGTTTCAGCTGATATAACGTACATATATTTAATAATGTTTGCGTGTGATTATCATATGGGGATTTACTAACGTCACAATTAAAGTCCCTAAAGCTATTAATTCTTTATTTTCCATATCACATTTTTTGAATAAAGCGTTCAAAGTCGTCAAACAAACTTATATTAGCATTCGGACGTCTGTACCAAGAACAAACTAAGAATGGCTTGCTATATTGACGAAAAATTTCAATGCACACCATTTCAAGCGAATTTGGGACCAATTCTGTACGTTCAACACATGAAAAGCAGTTTCTAACATATAAAACGACACCCCCACCGTGTCTATTACGATCCTTTCTGAATAAATCGTATCCAGGTATTTTAATTTCATGGTCTGAGACAAATTCATCGATTTTGGACTCATTGATGGCTAAGACATCAATCGGACATTTTTCCAATATTACTCGAAGCTCATCGATATGCTTCAAGAGGCTATTAACATTTAGGCTAGCTATTCGAAAACCTTTGAGATTAGCAATTTTGCTAAGAGCAGATTCAGAATTACAATTTGCTATTGCCGGGTCATTCAACAAGTCATTTAGTTGATTATCGGAGGTTATTGCTGAAATGTCCGGGGAAATATCATATCAATTAGGTATATTATTTGCAAATTCTCTTAAATTGTCCTGAAGAATTGAGCTGCCTACATTATTTAGATGAAGGCCTCTGAAGTTCAAATGGGAACTATTAATGTTAGCATTTTCTAAATACGATATTTGGGAGTGTTTACAATGACTTCTTAGCATATCATTAACTTGTTTTACCTTACCAGCAAGTTCTTGATTATCATTCCTTACCACAAGTGCTGAGACACCTACAACTGTATCTGGAGAGGAGTGCTTGATTGTGTTCGTAAGATCTACGATAGAATCGGCAACAACTTTTGCGGACGAACTCTTAAGATTGTTGGTTCCAACGTGAAGAATCAGCTTATCTGGTCTTTTCCTGATTAGCGGTTTAATAAAGTCATTCATGTCTTCAACAGTTGCTCCTGGAAAGGGCTTTACCACATAGAAGTGATCCCTATCTACATTACTCATTTTTGCACCAATAACATTTTTAACCATGGAGTCACCAGCGATGACAACGGTTTTCTTTTTTGCTGGGTGTATCGTCGTTCGGTTGAAGGCAGTTTTTGACGCAGCCATATCATCGGTTATTGCTGACTTTACAGTTTGCGTGGCCGACGTTGCTATTGACGTATTGATCTTTTTTTTTTTGGTGTTTGCTTTAGGCCTTGTTTATTGGACGTTTCGCCATAAAAAGCATCCTTATCATTATCGTTGGTTGTAGATACATTAGAACTATCGCCAGATGCTTCATCATTCAGGGTCATATATCTGTTGGAATCCTCTACAACAAAGCAGTCACGGTCATTACTCTCAGCAACACGAGCGGACATCGCATTTCTCTCTTTAACTTGAGTCCAGCCATTCTGTTTGATAACATTTGATGATTGATTATTTCCCGTTTTGCTTTTCGATGAAGATTGGCGATAGTCATCATGTATGAGGCTTATCGCAGTTATCAAGCTCGCCTTTTCGTCTTTTAATATTTTGATTTTGGTATTCAAATCAGAAAGAACATTAGCGAGATTATTCATGCATTCAGTATGTTCGGCATTTTCCTTCAGGAGATTTTCATTCTGTCGTTGAAGTTTCTCATTTTCACGGCGAAGATTGTACATTTCGAGACTCTCTTTGCCAGATGCCGATTTTATACTTACAGGTAAGGCCTTAATGTTAGATATTGAGGCTTTGTTTTCTTCAATACCTAGTTTGAGCTGCTCGATTTGTACTTTGATCTCATTAACTGCTTCAGTGATCATCTCACCATACATGTGCTCGGCTTGATATTTTTTTTGCGTTTCATCGTATATTTGAGGACCTTCTTCTGGTTGAACAGTTTCGTCTGCTTTCCCAAAACTTTGTGATGAAGCTATACTGTCGCCGTCGTCTTTGCCTTCGGCAGAAACCAACTCGTCATCTTGCGGATCCCCGTCACTTTCGTCCATTGAATTCGCGATCAGTTTAAGCTCATTGCGAAGCAACTCGCCGTCTTGACCTTTAATTATCAATGAATTACTTGTTGAGTACCATCTGATCGTTATATCTGCATTTTCAAATGATTTACATCCACCTCTGGGCACGAGCCATTTTGAATCGATCTTCAAGATTTTATCGCAAGTCTTTTTAAGGTCTTCAAAGCTGCCTAACCATTTGAAAGAACCTCTAGTTGTAATAAACAAATTAGCTTGAAAATTATCTTGATTCATCGCTATAGCGAAGCACGAAGATGCACGAAGATTAGATTCTTAAAAAGTAATCAACTTAGCAGAGCTCTAAGAACACGTCCGTCTCCCACGAGCACGAGCTACAATGACGATTCGGAGTTAAGATATCTGGAAGCGGATGAAGCATTAGACGTATCAGTCGACGGACTGAATCTTTATATTAGAATGATGCATCTTGAAACTCAGAGGCGTTTGCATTTAATAGCATGCACGTGTCAATACCATAGTCTTTTTTAGTAAAGAGTTATCTGTGTTCATACTAGAGGTCATAAAACCTCTGCAACACACAACTTCTTTATAGACTCCGTGCAGTATTTTTATGTATTTCTGAAGATCATTTGCGGTATTCTTTATGTCATTCCAGGAGAGACAATGAAGTTCAAAAACGTGTTGAAACAAATGAAGAATTTCAAAGATGACAGCGTGTTACGTGGTGTCAGCATTGGCATGGTTGGTGGATGCATCGCGGTGCTTCTAATCCAGACTATCTGCTATTGTATCATGGGGTAAGGATTATTCAGATTACTTGTATACATGTTGTTCTTCAGCAAAGAAGCTGTATTCAAAAAGTCGTTAGGGATATACAATTTGATTTCATGAATAAACTTTAACAATCTGGTGAACAAAGGCATAGATCGATGACTATAATCATCAATTTGTAGAAACACCATGTACGTGCATGTATTCATTATATGCGCCGCTTTCGGGCCATTAACCCTGGAATTCATCAGTGCAATAAACTTTTCGACATTTTGTAACAGCCCTATACACGTCCTGTGAATGGTTTAACTTTGAAGTTTCAAGATTTAATCATCCTATGCACTATAACTTATATGATTTAAAGATGAGCTTGGTATTTTGATGTTTCCTTCAAGAGATGTGTTCAGTGTAACAGAATTTCACAATGTTTCATTGCTTTTCATTTCTTGCCTTTTAGAAGCTGCGCTAAGTGCGCAAAGAAGCTGCGCATCCGCAGAAAACAAACTGACGTGCCAACTGACGTCGTTATTGACATTGAGAAAGATAACGAGGTAAGTTTTGCTCGTATTTAACAAAAATATTACCATACGAGTAGGGGAAGAAATGAGAAGATATAGCGTTGTTGTTCCCTTTGAAGTGCCGAATTCTAAAATTATTAGTTTGAAAATCGCGAGGTGGAGATCTTTTAGAGACAAAACAATGGACAATTTCCATGTCGGAATACTCTCCAGAGCAAACTGAAAGTAAGAAAATTGTTTGACGACGAGATGTTGTAAAATACGGAAAATATGGGCTGGTAAAATGTGGAAATTCATACTGCAGAGAAAACGTTATTATTTTCCGCTCAAAAGTGCGTACTCTTGCGAATAATCATGCATGAATGGGTTTAATTGTTTTTTCTTTGTAGATCGAACAAGCTTCAGACGAAACAGAGACGACTGTTCCTGAAGCGAAAGAAACTGGCACAGAAGAAGCCAAGGAATAAAGAAGCTTTTAAAAATACATTTTTATATTTTTTATACGTTTGCATGTTAAATTTCTACAAGACTTCTACAAGACGTTCATGGCTCGGGTTGGGCCACATCGATAGCAGAGTTGGCATTATGTGCGGGGACACAAGAGTACAAAATGCGTACATTCGAGTACATATGATTTTCGTACAAGAAGTATACAAAGAGAAAGAATTCAGAATCCATGCATGCGATTTTCATCATTTGCGGTCACATTCTACTTTTCTACCGAAATTAAGATGGACTTCCGTGTGGATTGGAAGCACCTGTGAAGTGCGTGGTTGAAACGTCTCAACCGACTGGATAAACCGACTTCCGCTAAGGCACGTCACAACGGATCTTTGGACGACCAATGTCGGTTCCTCTACCGTCGCCCAAACTAAAGCTCTACCAGTAAAGAGAACATCGCAAGAACGAGATCTGAATTTTAAGACGAAAGTAAAACGTGCATTTGATTGCAGTGATCTTTCAAGCGTGTTTGGGGTCGGGAAGCAGTTCGTGTATACGCATCTTCTGTTGTATGATACAAGTTTACTACGCAACTTGTTACAATGGCGTGTTACCCGCAAGTGACTTGTGTTTGCCATAGTTTATTGCTCTCGATTATAATTTAAGAAAATAATAGTATTAAAGGTGAGAATGTTGTGTATTTAAAGTGTAAAACTGTATGGTGTCATTGCATGCCCTTTGTAATAAACTGGATTTAATTAACAAAGTTGGGTATTTTGTATTTTTTGCGGGCGGCCTTTCTCCCCAGCCATATAGTGCTTTCAAAAAGCCCGTTTTCGATGTTAAAATATTAATTTTTTCCCAAAAAGATACATGTGATTTGAAACACTATTGTTATTGTTTTTCTATAAAACAATGGTCAAGAGACCTTCCATGGAGATACCGTACAAAACAGCTCGCGTGGTTTGGTGAAAAATGTCCCTAAAATTGCTCAAAAATACAAAACGAAGCATCAATATTCACGAGGAACATGCTCTTTGGATTAGCACACAGCCATACTTTTTAGAACTCGCCAAATTCCCAGCTAAAACTAGAAGGTTATCATGCAGCATTAATAAGCGAACAATTTTGAACAACTTGCGCCATTTGAAAGTTTAAACTTCACGTTACTATAGTCGAACAGGAATTAAAAGGCAGCAAAGCAGCAAAAAAGAGAAAATAGCTTTTCTAAAACTCCAACTGGTCCTTTGTGGGCAGATTCATGCAGTTCTGTGCCTTTTTTGTGCCTGAGTAAGAAACGAGAGTACTGGGAAACTGGGAACAATTTTCTTTGATTGTTCTCGTTCCCACGGCACGCTCCGACGCAAGCAATTATGAACGTCACAATCTTTCAATTATAGCGTAAATTTATTTTGCTTCTTTCCAGTGTTTCATTGACATAGCGCAATGAAGCAAGGCGATATTATGACATTTTTGGTAGCAATTTTTGGATTATTGATGATCCTGTTTTCGCAAGAAGGTTTTGCATTACGTTTCTGTCCTCCACGAACCATGGCTGTTTCCCTGCGCGAGGCAGGAGACGCTGCTGAATGCGTTTGCCTGGAGGAATTCACTGGCCCACAATGCCGGTACAGAGGTAGGTCATTACGGCGTACTATATGTCAACTTATAGAACCTTAAATGCGAGTTAATGCGAACCTTACCCATTTAAGAACAGTTTAGAAATGATAGAGCTATTTATTAAGTATATAAACAAATTTAGTTTACTTTAGGTTTCTTCCTGTATAGTAACACTGGATCAATAAGAGATGATGCTTGCGGGCCTTAATTTGGGTTTAGAGCTGATAGAGCTATCCTGCATGTATATAGATAAGTCAAGTTAGTTTAGATTTCCTTCTGTAGTAACAATGGAGCAATAAGCTATGATCCTTTTTTTGTAACTTTTATATATAGACATCGAATATCTTTGCAAAGGTAAAACTGTTTTTAAACTAAATAGTCTTGAGAGCGAGTGGATTAATTTGGGACTCGTTTTGTAGTAACACTCATAAATTACACAACTGTATTAAACAGAAAGTGAAAAATATAAGAGTGGCTAATTCTTAAAAAATAAAGTTTTTATCAGTAAAACTTTTGATCAGGACGTTCTTCAGCGCGGCGTGCACATCAATTAACTCCCTATTCCAAGCACGCGCCATTATAGGCTACGGCGATTCTTAATTGCGTCTTTTCCGCAGCACATCGCTGGATGAATATTACAAAAATCCTAAAAGCTCGCATTTCTCTCGTAGAGTAGAATAATTTAGAGGTTATAATGTAGCCAGCAATCCTTTAGAGATAAATTTTGCTTCCGTGCATGAATTGAAATATACAGTTCTAAAAGTTTAACTCACTAAATTTTCAAAATTCTTGACTGACACAACACCGGCGCGATCGATTTGCATTTTCTTACGAAGTGTATAAAAGTGAGTTTAAACGCCGGAGACTGGATGCAGGTCAAATTTTCAGATAACCCGAAATGAAAGGAATCGAATTGAAATCCGTTCTAAACCAAGGGCTCAAAACATATAAGAAAACTTATTGTTATTTTGAAGGATTTAACTGAGGAGTTCAGAATAATCAGGTTCAAATTCTTGGTTTATTTTCTCGTTCATTTGTAACATAATACGCCCAGAGTTAACACAACTAGAATGATGGTTATAAAACAACTAATTTAAGCATTTTAGTAAATAAATAAATATTGCTCAAATCAATGATTCTCAGACGACCAATCTAAATAGGCAATAATTATTATAGAGTGATGTATAATTGTTTGTGAACCACAATTTTTCATTTTTGTAGCCGAGAATGGTTCCAAGATTTTTAACATTTCTTGGATAACCAAGCAATGGGCTCTCGTAAGAATCCAGCACCAGGGGAAAAAGGAATGGGCCGAGATCTCGGTCCGACCAGTTGTTTACAAGACAAAATTTCCACGGAAAATGGAGACGAGTGTTCTTACACTCCGTAGTGAAGATCAACACAGCTCAAGATGGTGCCCCAAGCACAATGGCATTCATAAACTTACCATCTGACGCATCATATGAAGTTCGAATGATGCCAATGAGCTCCGATGGTGAAACCAGACCAGCTGTATATATGTTCTTAGATTCACAAGAACCACCGATGAAGGTTTGAACACGATAAAAAACGTAAATCATATCTTAAATACAGGCGACCTGTCATGATAGAAACACATTTATAGGAAAATTCTTTATTAAGGACACCTGGATTTGTTAGATGGACGCCTCTATAGGTGTGCTTCTGAAAGGGGTCATTAATTCGGAGTTATGATATCGAGAGGTGGCCCATATTATATGTAATGATGTATATTTTTCTATGTGGAGAGCTGTTTGCTTAACGAGGTATCGGTATTCTGGAAGCGGATGAAGCATCAGTCGTACCTCTATAGTAGAATGATGCATCTTGAAACTCAGAGGCGTTGGATTTAATACATGCACGTATAAATACCGGAGTCTTTCTTAGTAAAGAGTTATCTGTGTTCATACTAAGCAGTCATGCAACCTGTGCAACACACAACGTCTTTATAGACTCCGTGCAGAAATTAGACCTCTTTATATGACGAGCAGCTGATGCATCTCCCTAATATAGAACATGACAGTTTCCAAAACCTTTTTATAACAGAAACCTTATTTATTGATGGTTCTGAGTATGATTTTTATGGAATTCCTTTCTCTTTATAGCAATATGAGTATTTTTATGTCGTTCCAGGAGAGACAATGAAGTTGAAAAACGTGTTGGCACAAATGAAGAATTTCAAGGATGACAGCGTGTTACGTGGTGTCAGTATTGGCATGGTTGGTGGATGCATTGCGGTGCTTCTAATCCAGACTATCTGCTATTGTATCATGGGGTAAGGAATTTTCAGATTTCTTGTATACATGTTGTTCTTCAGCAAAGTGCTGTATTCAAAAAGTCGTTATAGGGTTATACAATTTGATTCGATGAATATACTTTAACAATGTGGTGAACAAAAACATAGATCGATGACTTTAATCATCAATTTGTAGAAACACCATGTACGTGCATGTATTCATTATATGCGCCGCTTTCGGGCCATTAACCCTGGAATTCATCAGTGCAATAAACTTTTCGACATTTTGTAACAGCCCTATACACGTCTTGTGAATGGTTTAACTTTGAAGTTTCAAGATTTAATCATCCTATGTACTATAGCTTATATGATTTAAAGATGAGCTTGGTATTTTAATGTTTCCTTCAAGAGATGTGTTCAATGTAACAAAATTTCACAATGTTTCATTGCTTTTCATTTCTTGCTTTTTAGAAGCTGCGCTAAGTGCGCGAAAAAGCTGCGCATCCGCAGAAGACAAAATGCTGAGGTGCCAACTGACGTCGTTATTGACATTGAGAAAGATAACGAGGTAAGTTTTGCTCGAATTGAACAAAAATATTACCATATGAGTAGGGGAAGAAATGGAAAGATATAGCGTTGTTGTTCCCTTTGAAGTGCCGAATTCTAAAATAATTTGAAAATCGCGAGCTGGAGATCTTTAGAGATGAAATGAATGGACAATTTCCATGTCGGACTAATTTCAAGAGCAATCTCAAAGTACTAAAATTGCTCAGTTTGACGACGAGATGTTGTAAAATACGGGAAATATGGGTCGGTAAAATGCGGTAATTCATACTGCAGAGAAAACGTTATTATTTTCCGCTCAAAAGTGCGTACTCTTGCGAATAATCATGCATGAATGGGTTTAATTGTTTTTTTTTTGATCGAACAAGCTTCAGACGAAACAGAGACGACTGTCCCTGAAGCGAAAGAAACTGGCACAGAAGAGGCCAAGGAATAAAGCAGCTTTTGAAGATACATTTTTCTATTTTTTATATGTTTGCATGTTAAATTTCTACAAGACTTCTACAAGACGTTCATGGCTCGTGTTGGGCCACATCGATAGCAGAAATGGCATTATGTGCGAGGACACAAGAGTACAAATGCGTACATTTGAGTACATATGAGTTTTGTACAAGTATACTAAAGCGAAAGAATTCAGAATCCCGGCACGCGATCTTCATCACTTGAGGTCAAATTCTACTTTCCTACCGAAATTTTGATCGACTTCCGTGTGGATTGGAAGCATCTGTAGAGTGCGTGGTTGAAACGAGTCAAGCAACTGGATCAACCGACTTCCTCTAAGGTACGTCACAACGGATCTTTGGACGACCAATGACGGTTCCTCTAGCGTCGCCCAAACTGAAGCTCTACCAGTAACGAGAACATCGCAAGAACGAAATCTGAATTTCAAGACGAAAGTAAAACGTGCATTTGATTGCAGCGATTTTTCAAGCGTGTTTGGGGTCGGGAAGCAGTTCGTGTATACGCGTCTTCTGTTGTATGATACAAGTTTACTACGCAATTTGTTACAATCGCGTGTTACCCGCAAGTGACTTGTGTTTGCCATAGTTTATTGCTCTCGATTATAATTTAAGAAAATAATAGTATTAAAGGTGAAAATGTAGTGTATTTAAAGTGTAAAACTGTATGGTGTAATTGCATGC